GTTTATTTAAAACCCCTTTTTAAGACCCCTTGCAGCAACTGTTATTGAGGCTGAAGCAAACCAATTATGCTGGACTACAGGGACATCTCCCTCATGGAGAGTGTGCCTCTACTGTGGCGGAGCGTGACCGCATCACCCGTGGGAATTGAACCCATGACCAGTTTAGAGGGGGGGGGCCCTTATAATTGATATCTAATACATAACGTCGAGAATTCTACGTTTTGCACGGGCTGGCCCCCCAATACCCCCTATGATTGTGCTGAAGCACGGAGAACTCAGGTAGCTGACGCTACCTTTCGTTATGACATGGTATGACATGGTCATGTTTTATCCGACTTTTCGGTGTCCACCACACCCTGATACCTGCTTCAACTCCTTTCGGATAAGAAGTTGCTTAAGCATCACCTGTGCAAATCATCCCTGCCAAATCTATTTTGATTGTGACAGCTACCGCACGAGTTAAAGCAAAAAACAGCGTGCCTGCTTTCATTGTTCAGAAGTGTTGAAAAGTGTTGAAAAAAATTGAAAAATACTTTGGTTTGCTGTTGGATCCCCATCACTTAGGCAGTCTGTCACTGCGTATGTCTGCATTCTGTATCCATGCATCCTCTCTCAGCATCTCTCAGCCCCACCTGCTTTCCATACGTGGTGTCAAAGCCCAATCTCTTCTCAAACGCAGTTTCCGCGTCAGTTTTGTGGTAGTTTTCAGTGTACGGTCGCTCATCGAAATACTCCTGGGATGTGCCAGCTGGTGGCGAAGGTTGCACTGAGAGCTCTAGAAGTGCCAAGGGTGAGCTTCAAGCGCTAAGAAATGTTAAGAAGCTTGTGGGATCAAACAAAATCGCTCAAATCTTGTTGCCAACACCAAACTCAGTCTAGAGATATCTAGAGTCTAGACACGCCACAAGTTGGTAGAAATTGGTAAAAGCTTCCCACCTTGCCCCCCCCCCCGCTGTTTGACTCACAGGCATGGCGACCCAGCCTTGGCTGGCCCCAACGCTACGTTCAGATCTCCATCTGGGATGTCTGCAATCCTCCAATGCCTTGGGAAACTTGGGTGGATGCTGAAAGGCTGAAATAGTCTGAAATCTTATGGAAGTCAGGACGACCATTTAGACAGCAAGAGATTCGGTTGTTTGACATCACCAGGAAATCCAAGCCCAGTGGTATGCATCCCTGTCGGGTCTCATCCCAAGGCGCAGTCTTCTCCCATCTCGATACTGACATTGATAGCTCCGAAATATCACACGGAGGATCTGTTGCGCATCCTTAGTGGAGCCAATTTGCATAATGCCTCGGTGCCTCCAACAGCTGGATCACAACACACCATAACAGCCATAACAGTTAACACCTTGTGAGGCTCAAAAGCTTGGAAAACTGCAGCTGACTTATCCTGACTTGGAATTTCATGTTGGCAGCCATTGACAGCGCTGATTGGCTAGTGACGGCTAGTGGAAGCCCGAAGAGCACTCTGGTGTTGGCTTTACCAGAGTCCTTGATCCGAGCATCTGGTGTGTCCAGGAACTTCAACAAATCTGAGAACCTGGGAAACCAAAGGTATCCAAAAGTCACATTTGCAGGTGATGGTGAAGTTGATCTCAAACTCTCAAACTGAACCAGTGGGATTTCCCATGGATTCCGGATCCCTGCGGCCCGGCGACATGATCCGGTCCAGTTCCTCCTTCAACTCTTCCTTGATGCCCCAGACAGGATCGCTGGCCGCCACCCGGAGCCACAAACCCTGGGCCACCTGCCGAGTGGAAGTGGATGGGGATGATGATGATGATGAGGAGGAGGAGGACAGACTTTTCAAACACAGCTGAATTTTTATGCCGTTGTTCCTTAAGGATGAGAATTGCTCTCACTGCTGGCAGAGAAATTGTATACCAAATGCAGCCTGGCCAGAAACGAAGGATGTCAACAACAAGGTTTTCATGTTACAAGTCGGTTGGGATGTTTGTTTGTTTCTAGAGAACAGTATAGAAGATATGTAGTACAATCAGAGTTTTGCATGACTGCCTATGCAACTATCCGGATCTCTATCAACGTTATCATTGTACATCTAATTATATCTATAATCATAAGTATAGGACTCTATATAGTCATCTGTACAATCATCTAATTTAAACGTAGAATAACATGGATAACTTTCTGCTTTCCACGTCCTTCAGGTCCAAGGCTCTGCAGCAACCAGCATGGAATTCCGCTTCTCAAAGACGTAGTCGATGGCCCGCATTGATCCACCCTGTGGCTTGCGAGATCTTGCCATCCGCTTGAAATATCGCAAAATCTTCTAAAGATAATGTACTGTGTGTATTGCGATAGGTCTAGGAGTCTAGGATCATGTTTTTAAATGTATTTTTATATAAGTGTTCAGCTGAGAATTTGCCTTTTGTCTTCTGAAGACCATAAATTAGGCTCCTGGTTGCAGGTTGAAATGGTTAAAGCCTTGAGATTTAACCAACTTTACAGGCCAAGGATGGCCAAGGCACCAAGGCTCTCTGGAGATGATCCTGTTCAAAATCCATACTTTAGCCGCTTTCGCCATCTTTAGCCGATGCCTAGTACATCTTGGGACATCATGACCCAAAAAATGCCTAGGAAAACTTGGAGATTGTACCAGATTAAGACACTATGGAATATGTAGACAGAGTCCAATGTCAGGCTCTAAGAAGAAACGAAGGAGCTGTATTGCGCGAAGGATTGTGAATCCCTTGATGGCACCTATAGGACCTCAGCTTGGGCCACCCGAGGGTACTAAGCAAATCACTGAGTCCAAGTGTCGTGGAGGACGAAGGAAGCCTTGAACATTTCGGCTCCATCTCTGACAATCTGCCTGAGAATATCTTCGTGACCTCCGTCAATGCTTGCTAGAAGCACACCCTGTGTGATCCTCAGATTTCGAAAAGCACATTGAGAGTGTCAAAATGGATCAAAATGGGAGATACTCTGAGATACCGAGATACCCAAATCGGGATGACCCATAGCTAAACAATCAAGCAGGCAAGCGTCCCTACATTTGCAGACAGAAGTGCTCCTACTACTTCACTGTGCCCCAAGATTGTCGCAGTTTGGATGGCTGTCTTCTTCTGTTTCAGATCATCGTGACCTGAGAGGCGGCGGCAGCGACAGAACATGGGCATCGACTTAGATGGAAGCGCCCATGTTCATACATTGTAAGCTTTCAATGAGTTTGATCATGAATGATTGTGATTTGTTTCCGCTCAAAGTTGGACCCTGCGCAATGCCCCGGCAATCCGTCCGCTTTTAATGCAGTTGCTCCAGTGTGGCGTGGAAATCTACAAGAAATCGGTTGCCACTTGAAAGCAAATCGTTTCAAACGTTTGGCCCAAGGAAACCCACCAGGTTTCAGAAGCAATCTAGGTGTTGTCGCTCCTTCCGAATTATTCCTTTTCAAAAGCTGGATCTTGCCTCTCAAACACCAGTAGACAGGCCAAAAGTGGAGGAATTGGTCGTATGTCGTATGTGCCTTTGACATCCTTTGACCAGGTCTTTGGCTTCGCACCTACTTGTATCAACATTCAACAACTATGCTATGCATTCACATGCTAAAAAATGAATGGCAACTACGCTAAAAACTACGCTAAAAAATTGTGGATCTTGAACGCAACTTCGATCCTTTGGTGGTACAGTAGCCACCCCTTAACCTCTCGGCACCAACCGCCATGCAGGCCATGCAGGCCAAGCGGCACGTCACCTGGACGTCGGGGTCACAGTTCTGTTGCAGGAGATATTGGACCACCTCCGCATGGCCAAAGTAACTGGCCTCAGGGGGGGCAATTTGGGATTTTGGGATGTTCATCTGGATGTTCATCAAAATATATTCAAATGATTTCAAATGTTCATAGACTCAAACATGGTGAAGTATAAAATTACAATCTCAGAATAACTCGAGGCAAAACAATGGATGGCTAATGCTGTAGCATCCTTTAGTAATTTGGCACAGGGTAGCAAAATCCTTGAGACCTCCATCTTCGATCCAATCAGTACCGTGGACCAACCAGCTGTGGACATGTCAAAAAGCCTCGTAGAGAAGGGTGCTGTTGGGCTCACGGTTCAGCACACCCAATCTTCCAGACAAAGGTGCCTGGGAGGCCATTCATGGATGCCATGATCCTAAAGTATCCCAAGGACTTCTGCCAGTAATGCAGGGGCTTACCACCAAACTGGAAGTCACTTTAGTGCTGAAACATGATCATGATGATGGCGATGATGACGATGATGACGATGATGTTGATGATGACGAGAAGAAGAAGAAGAAGATGATGATGATGATGATGAGGATGATGAGGATGATGAGGATGATGAGGTTGAGGATGAGGATGAGGATGAGGATGCCGGACAATGCCTATGAACAACGGGTCAACTTAAGAAAGTTGCTGATTGCAGGGAAGACCCTGGATGCTGTATCATCAGTAACCCTTGCGTTTGCAAGTCAAGTAGTATCTTATGATTCTCCCGTGTTGTTTGGTTGGTTGTGATGTACAACTGCCCTTTCCCCAAAACACCTTAGCACCGCCCCAAACTCAAAATGCATCAAACAAAAAAGACTGAAGCAAATGGTTCTCTGCATCATACTGCACCAGCAACCTCAGTTGACTATTTCAAGGCTTGCTCTGGCAAGATTAAGAGATCTGCAAACGTTAGCCCTTGATATAACGAGCCGTGGTATCAAACAGCTCAAATTCTGATCATGGAAGACTAGTCGGCTCGCCCAGACTGATTTCATATCTTGAGACGGTCTGGATTCGAGCCAACGTGGATACCACGCATGCACTGGCCACAGCCAAAAACTTTTGCCAGGCAACTTCAGCGCAGAGACATTGCCCGATGCACAGGCAGCACAAGCGGCCACCCCATGGTAGTCTGAATCACTTAGGCCCAGTTTCGTGTAATACTGAGACCCAACGTCAGCCCGTTCCTGCCAGTGGGTTCAAGGTGATCCAAAGATCCGGCACTGCAGACATTGCAAGTCCATATCACAGCAGCTTCGCTGGCGGCTGACAATGCTGACATTTCTCAAGCTCAGTGGATTCTCAAGCTCATTTTGCAATTGGAGTTGTGGATAGTGATACGCTAGACCGCTAGAGTCACAAGGGTATAAATGGATATAAATCGGTGTAAAATGGTATTTAAAAAAGGTGAAATCATTGTGGCAGGTGACAGAACATGACAGAACGAAGCGGGTAAAAAGTATGTAAAAAAATTGTAAAAAGTAAACACCAGCTCATTCGCTCGCTGAGAAGTGGAGGGGATCTGAGGATTCACCGATCCAGGCCATCCCAGTCCTCCAACAGTAGCTGCAAGACATCCAAGCAGTTGGGCCGATTCAACTTCACGACCAATGTCAGGGGTGTCCCATCGAAGGTTGTGCTGCCCAACTTGTACCTGGCGGCTTGTGGACATTGATACTGCTTTCAGATCTTTCAGATGAGGTAAGAGGAACACCTCAATACACTTCAGTGCGGCTTTGACCAACAGACATGGTCCTTCATCTCAAAAGGCGCTGAAGAATCTCAACCTTCAGATACAATCACAAACAATATCTTGTGTCTCACATCTATACGATGAAGCGCTGCTTTCTTCAAACAAGTGGACCAAGCAGCATCGGATGGTCTGAAAATGTCTGAAACCGGATTCCTACTGTTCCGGGCCTCGCCTCAGCCGGCAATTGGGGTCGGCTTTCTCCTCCAGCAACCGTCTGACGTCCTGCACGGAGGAGTAGAACGATCTCCTTGGACGTGCTGCAGCATGAAACTTGGCACATCTTGGCACTTATGGATCAGGAATTGAAGACACTCTTTGCGCCATCTGCATCCATCTGCTTCATCCATCATCCAGTGTGTTTGCAACATTTTGCAACTGATCCCCATTGACCAACGGCTCAGCTAATGGCTTCTGATGCTCACAGCTTCACCAAAGAACTATAACTGAAACGACATTGGCTTCTTGCCAAGAATCTTGCTGGTAGACAGGCATTCTGTCCACGGTTCATCTTCTGGGGGCCACGGCGACACCATCTGCTTCAGCTGTTGGTGCCCTTGTCTTATCTGCACTGCTTCTATTGCATCGAACATATTATGGGTGTGTCTGAAAATGGGGTATACCCCACATGCCAATTTTATTGGGGGGTTCCTATTTTCAAACAAACCATATCACCAACTACAACCAGTACAGAGCCTAACTTTTTGGCCAGAAAAAAGTGTGACAAGGGAAGAGAGAACCACATCTGAAGGTATCTTCTGAAGGAAAGGAACTCACGGAAGTCTCTTCAACCCGTGATAGTTGAGAACTCTAACTCCGCTATGCATTGCAAGAAACGGCTTCGCCCAAAAAAATGATTATATAGTTCGGTATGTCGCATCCGCTGGCAATGAATTTTGAGTGCTGAATTTATGCCAAGACCAACTTGACTCGACCTGATCCTTTTGGGAACCAATGAAGCCAGTGGTGGGGAGGCTGAAGCCACCCATCAGTTCTGGGGATCCAAACCCTGGAAGAAAGGCGGGAGTGCCAACCTGGCCGGATCAAGGGAATGTCAACTGGCCAGCAACCAGATTCATCAATATCATCAATACAAAGAAATCAGATCAAATCGGATTCATCAACTTTCAACTGCCATTCCTCGATTCATTGTGGCTGTGTCCAAAACTGGGGGACATCCTCCAAATCAACCATGCGGAGTTATGTGACTTCAAACATCTTCAAACACACATCCATCATTTGTTTTCCAGATCCCTTGGAATCCCTTGGATTTGGGATTTTGGATACCCCAAATGGACCCCCACTGGCCGCACCGTGGCCGCTGGGAAGCTGAGATCAATGGCCAGAGCGATCTTGTCGGCTCCGCGGGCCTGGCCAGAGACGTCTGTTGGAACATGTTGTTTCACTAAGCATGTAATCAGCATGTCATCACTATATAGTTTAGTATAACTAATGTATACATATACTAGTATAACTATAACTATAACTATAACTATATAATATATTATACTACTATATTAATATAACTTATATATATATAGCTTATATATATATAACCTTAGTATAGTCTAGTTGGTTACACGTAAAATACTGTATGCGTAAGTATGAGTAAAATGGAAGATGTTTGCATCATTTAGGGCTTCGTGTTGGATACAGGACATTGATGGATATTGTATACTAGGCACACTTAGCTCCCCATGAATAATTACCAGTATACCAAAGGTGTTCCCATGATAGATGTTTCTATTTGATAGGCTGAAATTGAGTATGATTCTGTGACAGAAAGTGTCTGCACTGCAGCTTTGCTCTCGATAATAGTTGCACTACTTGGCTTGGATTTGGACTTCATAATGTTGCTGAGATGTCTTGCCCAAATTGAACCCTCGGGTCCCACGTTGAGGGAACCATTCCCCCACCGGAATAAAATGCGGGCACCAGCTTGGCGCCTCTGCATCACTTCCATCCAACAACTGGCGCATGCAGCTATACATGGCACGAAGAGCAATCCTGCAGCCAGCAGGTGGGAAAATCTGAAGGGAAATCCGGTGGGAAATCCACCAAAAAATGGAAGTTTTAGTGGCAAATCATCTATAGAATCTATAGATGGGGGGGTTTCCATTGCCACGTTTGATTACTGGAGGATATGTCAAACAATGGGGATTCGGTCACATTTGCTGCACGTTGCTGGGTCTTGAATTGTGACACATAGCCATGCCTTGCCCATCGTACATGTGTCCTGGTAATACAGAAAAGGGTTGGCAAACATTAAAATCAATGAGTAGGCAACAGTAGGCTGACATCTTTCGCATCTTTGGCCCAAAGGTTATACCTCTATATCCCCTTAGCAGTGCTGCCATGACATGCCATGCCAAATCCCAAGCCTGGTGAACCGCCGCTCGGTTAGGGAACTGTCGTCTGCTGCGCTGTACCTGCAGAATGCGCGGGATCAGGGCGGCTGTGGAGCTGGACAAAAGAAACGTGCAAAAGGCAGGAATGCAAAAGTTTGCAAAAGTTGTTCTGTACACGCCTTGTGCTTGTCAATCAATTAGTTGCAACATCAAACCAGGACGGATGGGAAAGATTCCGTTCTGTTTAGCTCTTAATATAGACATACAATACATATATATATATATGTATATATGTAATTAGCACAAATACAGTACATAAATATACTTATATGATATATATGTACATTACTACCCCATCTGGCGCACCCCTGATCGATGAGGCGGGAGCTACCAACGAGACTTTCAACAGTTGGAAGGCCGCTAATCTGAGAGTGTGGGCGGCACTGAGGTTTCCAAGGTGTGAAAATGACATGAATGGATGTGGAGGCCTCAACCAACTAACAACTATTAATATCACTTGATATTAACTACATCAGTCAACTACCACTTGGCTGTCAGTAGCTGGGTAAGTGGTAGTAATTGATGTTAGTTGATTGATGTTGATATCAGTTGATATATGTTTTGATATTGGTGTTGATATTAGTTTTGATATTAGTTAATAGATCTTGGTAGTTTTCGTTATTCCCTTTTCTTTCATGGGCGACGGAGACAGGATTTGATAGCGCCGTGGGTGGTGATAGTACTTGATCCCAAAGGTCATCCTCTTCGCTCGAGTCACTATAGTTACTATAGTTCCTTCTGGAAGGTCTACAGCATCCATGCATATTTATGTGAAACACTGGTAAGTTTATTTGGAGGGTGCTGATCAACCACAAGATCCACAAGCAAGGTGAAATGTGTGTTCCAAGCCCGAGCCCGAGCGCATGTCAGGTTTCCCAGCGCTCCAGAATTTCACCTCAGCTCCGGAAGTTGCTGATTCATTTCTGGATGCAATAATTGGCCCTTGTGGGGTCTAATTCGGTGCTGAAACGCCTCTGAAATCAGCATTCTTGTTGGGAGGGCATGTGTTTGTGCAGAAGAGAATGCACAAACAACAGTACAATCATCAGTTCTCCCAGAAACTTTGAGTTTGTTTGGATCAGAAAGATGAGACATATATATATATATATACAATGTATTATAATATAACTATAACATAATCGTCCCGGCGGACCGGAAACCGTGCTCGCAAAAACAACGTTTTTCTAACAAATCGTTGTTTTGCCATAGCGAAACAGACATTTCTGCAAGCCGAATTGTGCCAAATTCTCACGCGAGAATTTGGCCAAATTCGCGTTTCGTGTGGGTTTTGGGTTCATGTCATTGGGGCGTGTTGACAGGTTTTTTCTTTCTTTCCAAAGCAGGTGCTTCAGCGTTGAAATTGGTTTTTGCTGGAGATGGGTATGCAGATTCACACATCTCCACTGCCAGCACTTCACATAGAGGAGAAGATCGTTGCCCTTCGAACACAACGAGTTGGGGATGAAGTCTTTGACAGCACTCCATGCGGCATCGATTGTTCCAGTGTGGCAGCTGATTTTCTCCATTCCACGGTAGAATGTGTTTTCAAACTCACCGCGCTTGTGGGTTACCCACTCAAACAAGGTCAGCGTAGCAACATGTAGCTGAAGAAGCACAAGGAACTTTAACATGCCCCCCCACCCCGCCCACCCCACCCCACCCCTTCATGCATAAAGCGAAGCAACACTACCAGACATCCGTGCAGCGTGGCAACATGTAGCGGAAGAAGTACAAGGAACGTTAACATGCCCCCCCCCACCCCACCTCGCCCCGTCATGACCTGCGAACACACGCTGGCAAAAACGTGCGTTTTACGAGCATGGTTTTCGGTCCGCTGGCATAGCATAATCATATAAGATAGTCCAATCACTTTCAATCACTCCAACTGAACATACTGAACCGACGCGTACCAGGAGTTTCTGGGAGCCCCTGGGAGCCCCTGCGCTCTCGTGAAGTTTGCCACCCGTCCCGAGACAAGGATGCGAGCCAAAGGGCACCGAACCGCCACCCGAGATGAAGTACCTCTGGATTTTGCCACTGACCACGGCTGTCCCTAGTTTTGCCAATGACGTTCCGTGGTTTTCCATGGTTTTCCATGGTTTCTCAATGTGATGTTCAAAAGTGGTCCAAATCTGTTCAATTCAAAGGTTCCTGACACATCTGAAATTTGGCAAATGGTTGGGGTCGACTCCTTGCATCTGAATTCCATGGTACTGGTGACCATGACAGATATGTTCATCATCTTTCGAGTATTTAGGATTACCGAAGGCGAGGGGCGCGATCTTGCTCCTTGAGACAGCCTTCTCCCAGTCAATGTTTCGTGTCGTCTGCAGCAACATGTTTCAAACCCATCTGTAGATCATGCAGCCACAGTTGGTCAATCCCGTATCGACCGTGGCCAGCCCCACCTGCCTCATGAAATTGCCAAACTTCCTGATGCACAGGGAGCTGCACTGGCTATCAATACACCCCCATACTATCCAAAACTGGCAAGGCAATGCGGGGATTCTCTCCGCTTCAAATGAGCTGTTGCTCTTCATCCACCCGTCTATCACTAACAGGAAGGATTCAATCAGGTTCCACCCAACCGGGCACCCGCTTTCCAGGTAGCCAAGAATCTCTTGAATCAACGCCTCCATTTCGCTGGCCGCCTCAGAGGCAATGGGAACATGGGACCAACATGGACCAACCATCAATGATCAGCAAACAGAAAGATTGTCCAGATTCACTAAGCAATACAGAATCTAAATTGTCAATGTTTGATATTTTTCTTTTAACATAGAAACATTGCCCACCAGATGAGTATGAGGTTCGAAGATGTTCGAAGTATATTGTGTTTTTTTGTACAACATTATATAATATACACATACGTATTGTAATGACTTTGCCACCCGTCCCCAGCTGCAGACAGTGCCGTGCAACTGCACCTGACATAACATCCTGAAAGGGCAAATTGAACACAATAAACTACTTCTATATAGGTACAAGGAAAAACTGGGCATATTATGATACACGTTCTATTCTATAATGATCTATAATGTATCACCAAGGGATACGATAGGAACCCCGTAGATCGACCCCTTTTCCAGTGCATCCGTTAACTCCTGTCGTTTTAACCGTGGTTGATTTGGAACATTTCAGTCCTCAAAGTTTCGCCATCATCGTCGTCATCATCATCAAGCACGAAAGTCATACGTAAAATCATCGGAATCACGCTCTCAGAATCTGTCACAAGGTTCCTACGGATCTTGTCAAATAGTTTTTGGGCAAATATGTTTGTTTCACCAAACATTTACCAGGAATGGAAAGGGAAAAAGATCATCAGCAACAATGTGGATCTCACAAATCAGGACTTGATGCCGTCCTTTTCGCCCAAGAACTGAAGCTCACACCGTCTCTGCCAAATATGGCACGTTCAAAACCTGCGAGTGCCACTGGCTACCCCGGGCTCACGCACACGGATGTCCCTTCCACCACTTCTCAGCCTGCGCACCAGCATGCGGATCAGGAGGCGACCCCTGACGGGAGTGACTTTGACCTTCGCAAAGACTTGCCAAAGCTGGGCGCTTTCCTGGTGCTGTTTGAGGAAAAAAGATCGTCGATTGTCAGCCGAATGAATTTTGCCATTGATCTCCATGACGTCTAGGCAAGAAACCCTGCCTCCGTGGGGTCGAGCTCCCATGCATTCAGTTGGTCTATGAGCTCTTTCAGCGGCCGCTTGTCAGAGAAGTGTCGGCTTATGGACTTTTGAGAGTACAGCAGCTCGTCAACAGGAACCACGTTTGTGCCGCCATGCTCCGCAGCACTTTCACTGACACTTTTGTCCTGCCTCTGCATCACCGTAGTTTTAAACTGTCCGAAGTCTTTGAGGTGAATTCTTCCCATGTGTGATTGCCAGGGACCCATGGGACACGAAAACGTGGCATTGATGCCTCAAAAGCGTTGCCATAGTTGCGCTGCAAACCATCGCCTGCCTGGAAAATCCACTCTGCTTCCCTACCTGGCCTACCTTCAGCACGGAACACAGGATATCCATTGTGCTCCAAGCCGGAAGCAACATACTTGGAGCGAAGCTTGTGCTTTTGGGGGCCAATGAAGAATTCAAACGAAGCTTCTGCAATGTTCTCAGGGTTATGCAGATGGAGCCGCCGTCTTTTCAGATTCTCTGCGCCACTGGTGCATGCCATACAAATGGACCAACTTGCACAATACGGCGAGGAGCTTGAACTGCTTGGGTTGAGCCGAAGAGCCCACTGCACAAACATGATATAGATTCTACAATGCAGTGTATACTCTGAATTTATGGTGATATATTGTTGAAATAGAAAATATCCCCAGTCTGTGCAGTTCTTGCACCAAAGGATTGTAGGAGTTGCTAAGAAATCTTCAAGGCGCAGGATACTCCTTGACCAAGGTCCTGGCCAATCCTTCAGCGAGGTAATGGTATACAGAGAACCTCAGGGCAGGTCACCTTGACTTCTCGCTTGGGATACACACGAGGCATACCTTCAATGGTAGTTTTTAAGAAATGTCAAGAAACACTATTGGTGTCCTGATTTCTCTGAAGGGAATACCGGAATACTTGACACTGCGGCAAGTTGCTATTTGCACTATTTTGCACTAACGTTTCCTGCATGTTGTTGTTTGGAAGTCATTGGCTACACTTTAGTTCTTGAACTTGCTAGCCGTAAACATGCCACAATGCGACTCAATGAAAGCAAATTCATCAGGCATGCTGAGACTTCATCACTTGAAGTACGGTTTTCAAATGTCTTCTTCAACTTGCCCTGTGTTTCTGGACTAATCACTTGAATAACACTTGCCACTGGGTTCTTCTGCGTGGGAATCACGTCCAGGTTCTTCCTCTTGCACTCGTCTAAGAATGGCTTCCATGTACCGGTGTCTGGCAGGAAGAAATCCTGCAGTCTCCATGGAGTGCCACGGAGTCTCCCAGATCTCCCAGGTGCCGGGACATATTCTCCGCCTTCCGTGCCTTCGAAATATCTATTGTCACAGCAAGCTCCGGTTGGTGAGGAGAACTTGCTATCAAAACTGAATGAATGTCATCTGAAGTCAAGATTAGTGCTGCCTGAAGGGGAAGAAGGAAGGAGGAATCGCTGTGGTTGGACCATTTCCAAACTGGTGAACTGAGGAAGTACAGCGAAGAATCGAATTTCTCACATTTCCGCCCAAATAGTGACATAGCAAAACCCGCAAACCCCAGGTCCGGCGACGTCATTCTGACGGTATTGGCTCCCAGCTGCACTGCCTGACAGGTGGAGCGGTTGGGGTGTGCAGGCAGTGCAGGGTGCTTTTGGTCCCAAGACTCGACTCTGCTGAGTATACGACGATCAGCTCAAGATCTCGTCCTTAGTCGAGTGTCGATGGACACAGGGAGTAGGGGGAAAACATCTAAAATGTTAGTTCTAAGAAGTTGTAGCCCATATCATCCCATATCAGAACAGCATAACGACCCCTTGTTTGACATTTTTTAAAAAAAAAAAACATAACCACCTACCATGTCACCTCCTCGTCCTCATCCAAAACCTAACTAACCATAAATTACCTCATTCATCATATTCATATTTCAAAAACATAACAGTCAATACATATCCACCTCATGCATGTCCACAAAATCATTACTAACCCCCATCCATTTTATGTATGTGTATATATATGTATATATGTGTATATATATATAGTATAGCCGTCAATATATCATTGCCTCGTTCATTCCATACCCAAAACAAAACAATCAACAACAAACAGAATCAACCAAGCAATGAGCAATATATATATATAACAAACAAACATAAAATCATTTATATATATAGTCTGTGAACAATACCATTGATTACCGCATACATCTCATGATATCATCATAGGATACGTGTTAGCAAATGTATTCAATGGTTACGAGTTTTTAATGAAATGCGTGCATGCCTATTATATATATATATACACATGATATATGTACATATACATTCATGCATGTTGTCATAGTCTTCTTCGATATCTTGCTGTATTTCTTCCAGCGTTTTATCTAATACTTCATCTACATTATCTTCATCTCCATATTCATCAAACTCACAATAAGAATCAATATCTCCAAATCTAAAGTCATGCTGGTCATTTCTCTATCTGGCAATTTTGCTACTACTTCTACTCTAATATCCAGATTTGCTATTAAAAAAAATATCGTCATCATCTACATTTCTACAGTATATATATATATATAATTATGTATATATTGTATATATATATATTGTATATACTAAACAGTCTAACTCATCATTTTCTGCTGTTATTATGTCTTCAATACTCTTCAAACTAATTGGCACACCCTCTCTCATAAAACAATATTCAAATAGTTCTATCGTTTTAGTAGGTCTTATCCTCCTTGTTGTATGCGGACAGAAGTCTAATATGTTATATTTGTTGTGCAGTCTCTTTAATGCTTCAATAACAGTATGAATATTCTATTCTTAGATATTGATATTATTTAGGTTCGCCAATTGTAAAAGACACTATATTGCTCAACACATGGCATGGGACAGGAGCTGGGCAGAAAATCTAGCAAGCCAACATATCCATGGCTCATGTGCTTTTATGATGATTTTTAAACGCGACCTCAGGGCGTCTTTCTTTATTCTCTATTGCAGGGTGCACATAGTCCAGGGTTGAGGGGACTCAGCTTCTGACGATACAAGCTGGACAAGAACCTAAGCAAGTCAATTGGATGGAGGCATGGACTCGAAAAATGAATCATCTTTTTTGAAGTGGATTTTTATGGATTTTTTGAAATGGGAAACAATAAACTCCGGTTCAGTATTTGTAGCAGCCTCGGAGATGTTCTATATGATGTAATGATCTCTGAAAATATGGGAAAGTACACTTTGGGAAAGCATGTATAATTAAATATATTGTTGATGATTGTTGCGCATGGAGTTGCATCCTGATTAAATCTGCAACCTACGTAGCGCAGACAAGGGGGAAATATGGGAGATGGGTTGTGCCACAGCCAAGGAACGAGTTGTACTTGTCGCTGAATGTGGCACCCATCAAATGCGGAGCATACCTTAGGTGA